GAGCTGTGCCCCAAGCTCCCAGACACGGCCAGTGTGTCCAGGTTTCTCTGTCCTTTGTCGGACCCCTGCTCTACTCGCCTGGCCACACGGCCCAAGCTTTGAATCACACGAGGAGCCTTCCTCTGCAGGGGCTGTGCATGGGTCGCCCTGGAGGAGTCCTGCCTGTCTGGCAGGGCAATGTTTCCCCCAGGACCCAGCCCCGGGCTCTGAGCACTTTATTTCCCTCCCTCAGTGGAAGCAACTGCCACCTGGACACCTGCAGAGTACCTGAGGTACCCAGGTATGGGGGACACCTCTTTGGGCTGTTTCTGTGCCTCTTTCCAAGCAAGTGAACTTGTGCCTCTCCCCTCCCCTTCCGCATCCCTCTGCCCCTCCCAAGGCTGGTTCACAGGGAGGGAAGAACAAGGGGTCCAGGGAGAGGAGGGTAATGAGGGTCAAAGAAGAACAGGGGGAGATGTTTGATGGTGGGAGTCACAGGGGGTTTCCACTTGACCCCAGACTTTGTGGCTGCCCCAGCTCAGGTGGGGGACCTGTGGTGGACTCAGTCCCGTGTCCTCAGCCCTCAGCTCAGTGGAAGACTGGCCGATGTGGCTAGGGAGGGCATGGGGGACAAAGGAAGCGGCCGGTAGGTGGGGGGGGTTGGGCAGCGAGGTACATCCTGGCACCGTGTAGGGGCTGGATGGGGTGGGAGTGGGCCAACCCTCATCCTCCCCCCGCCCAAATAAAAGCAGGAGACGGGGCGGGACCTTAGTCACAATGAGGTAGACTCACGTGAGGACTTGGAGTGCACAGGGAGGAAGAAGGAGATGTGGGGGGTCTAGAACCTCAGCAGTTCTCACAGACCATTAAGGGTGACTGCCTTTCCTTTGCTTGCGCTTTAGCCTCATCCGTTTATCACTGGGAAGCTTGCAGCATCCTCAGGGCTGGGTGGGCATGCTCCATGGACGTCTGTGAGTGAACATTGATGGATGGAGGAAGGAAGCGGGGAGGGAGGGAGGCAGGCAGGCAGGAAGGAAGGGGGGAGGAAGGGAGGGGTTTGGGCAGGAGGAGGGCAGGCGGGCGCCCTGCTGCTGGGTGCGGGCTCCTGGCAGAGTCGTCAACCGGATGGGAGGACGGCCCCTTGCAGCTGTGCGCACACACTAAGGGGCTCTGAGAAGCGTCCAGTCACGTCTCCCTGACGCACATCTCCTCCGCAGGATGGTTTACGCCAAGGCCCAGGTCCTCAAGCCCACGTGAGTGCGCACGTCCCTGCCGCGGCCCGTGGTGGCTCCCTGTCCCCGAGGCCTCGGCTTTCTCTCGCTCCTGTCCAAGGCTGCAACCTTTCCGTCCCTCTTCTCTCCCTCCTTCCACCGTCTTGCCGTGACCGGGCTCATCTTTAATGGGTCTGGCGCCACGGAGGGCGCCTCTCCCTCTGGGTCCGGGGGCCCACGGATGTCCACCAAAGGCACAGAGCCTCTCATTTCATCATGGGGATGGAGGACAGCAGCCTGCGCTGCCTTGGCCCCGAGGTCTTTCCGCGGCTGCTGATGTCACAGGACCTGCGGTTCCGAGCCGCTCCCCACAGTCAGGCCTCCGGAGCCAGCGCCCCCGCCTCCTGCTTGTTCTGCCCAAGACCCAGTGGCAGCCCATCTGGCCTCAGACAGCACGGTCTCCCAGAGGCCTCTCTGATCAGCCCTTGTTGTACAAGCAGGGAAAGTGAGCTCAGAGAAGTGCAGGTACTTGCCTGAGGCCCCGCAACTGAGGAGGGACAGGTCGGGATCCAGCCCAGGACATGGGACCTCCCTGCCAGGAGAGCTGGAAATGCACGCTGTCGTTTCCTAAACCAGTACCCGCATCTCCTTGAAGTTCTAGAGCCACCAGCCACGGGAGGCCAGGATCACTTGACACGTGACCACTCGGGAGTAAGATGTGCTGTCAGTGGGAAACACACTGGATTTGAAGCACTTAGTCCCCCCAAATTTAAAATATCGTCCCAAATGTAAAATATCGTGTTTGCTGGGAAAGGGGCTTAGTTCTTGCCTCACCGAGCTAGAGCTCCTCCCGGGAAACAGGGCTGGTGGCCTCCTAGAAGGAGTGTGCGTGGGCCCTAGTGCCCGGCTTGTCCATAGGAGACACTCCAACTGAGGGCAGCGAGGGAATGGGATTTCAGGGCTCAGGTGCTGAGCTGATGGAGCAAAGAGCACTGGATGGGGAGTCTGGCATCCTGTCTGATTCTCGCTCTGCAGCTCCCAGACTGTGAGCCTTTGGACAAATGCTTCCCTTCCGTGGCCCACGTGTCCACGCCCTGCTCTAACACAGTGTGCCTCGTTTTCCCCAGGAGGCCCGACGTGCTGGTCATGACCCCCTGGTTTACCCCCATCATCTGGGACGGAGTCTTTGACTCTACCATTCTGGATGCGCAGTTCCAAAACGCCACCATCGGGCTGACCGTATTTGCCATCCAAAAGTAAGTAGGGTCTGGGCAGCTATGCTGAAGAGGGGCACTGGCCCAGAGAAACCAGGAAGCCCCCCTGTGGTGCCGGGAGGGGGGCACTTGTCACTAGGTGTCGCTCTTTTCCGGGATGAGGTGCTCTCGGGGTGGTGGGGAGGCATGGGTGGCTTGGTGTGCAGGTGAACTTGGTGGGATTTGCAGGGGGCCACTAGGTACACACCTGCTCAAAATAGCAGCCCCACACCCGAGAGTCACCTGCTCCAGAGGTCAGTGTATGGACCTTTGAGAGCCATGCAGCCTCCCCTGACCACTGACAGGGGCCAGCCGCCAGGCCAGTGGCCCCGAGGCGGGTGCTCCGTTGCCCTGACCCATTCCCAGAGACGCAGCCTGAGGCTTCCTTTCCTAGGAGCCACGGCGGGCTCAGCATGTGGCAGAACTGGATCTGAAACCTCCAGGCTGCATTGACGGCTTCGGGGTTGGCTTGTTTGGTTTGAAAACTGGCTTGTATTTTATGTATTGCATCTGCCTCTTCACGCACAGTGTCTTGGACACCTTTGCACACTGACGCCTGTGGACCTTCCTCGTTCTTTTGAACGGCTGCCCGCTCTTATTCCAGAGGCTTCGTTCCCTGCTTGGGCTGCTTTGTAGACCTGCCTACGCGGCACCATTACA